CGAGGGGCCCCCGGGGGGCCCTGGGGGGCCCCCCCTGAAGTTGCTGCTCATTTTGGGGTGTATGGAGGGGGGGGGGCCCCGCGAGCGAAGAAGACTGGCCGCGAGGAGCCGCGGCAGGGCCTCGTTTGGAGTCTTTGGGACTCAAACGGAAATAAATTAAATAAATTTGATGCAGTTGTGCATAAGTCAAAGAAAATGAGCGGCGAAAGGCAGCAGCAGGAGCAGCAGCAGCAGCGGCGGCGGAAGAACGGCGGTGGCGCTGGAGAGGATGGACACCGCAGCGCGCCGCTGGAAGAAAAAGGGAATTCTTTTTGAATTTAATTTGTTTTAATTAATACAAATAAAACAAAGAAAGATAAAAAACGCGGAGGCCAGACACCGAAACAAAGAAGACACTCGCGGGCTGCTGTGCTGCAGCCGGATCTTCACGCCAGCGAGGTGTACATACACCTCAACTCGCCAGTTACCGGGGCTTTCCTTTCTCGACAAACAACACTTTTAAATGTTTTTCATTTTAAATAAACTTTTAAAGTGCCGCTGCTGCTGCAGCTGGCCATTCGTTTCTCAGCGCGCGTCCCTTCTTCCGGTGTATCTACAGCTCGCTGCAGCTGCACGCAGCGCAGCAGCAACTTCACTGCTCCTCACTTATATAAATTAATTCTTTTCATTCTTAAAATATTATTTATAATAAATAATTCAAAAATATAAAACTCCAAACTCAGAACAGCAGCAGCAACCTCCCCGACTCTGCCACTTTTCCACTTCGTGCTCTATGGTGAAGTCCATTTCACTTCAATTAAATTTCTTCCTTTTTTATTTCTTTTTCTTTTTTTAACTTAATTTTTATTTCTCCAAGATCTGGAGAGCATTGGGGTTTCAAATAAAAAATTAAAAAGGCATTAAAAGAAAGGACAATAAAAATGAACTTGGAGTAAGCAGCAGCCCAGGAAAGCCAGTTGAGACGCAGGTACCTGCAGCCAGTCCCCAGCAGCAGCAGCAGCAGCAGCAAGAGGAGCAGCAGCAGCAACAGCAACAAAACACACCATTAGAGGCAACTCTATGCATTACATGAGTCTAAGATAAGAACAAGAAAACAAATGCAAAAAGAAACACTCAGTGCTCCACAAAAGCACCCCAGAGAGGCCCCTCACTGGGGGCCCCCAACAAACCTCTAGGGGGCCCCCTAGGGGCCCCTGAGGGCCCCTGGGGGTCCCTAGGGGCCCCTGGGGGGCCCTGGGGGCCCCCTGGGGCCCCCCTTTGAGTACCCAAGACCACTCTCGGGGGGCCCCCATGTGGGTATGGGGGGTTTCAAGTTACATAAAGACTGGGGGCCCCCTATCAGAAGGGGCCCCTGAAGGGGGCCCCTACTTAAAGAGGGCCCCTGAAGGGGGCCCCCTTAACTGAAGGGGGCCCCTAATTAAAGGGGGCCCCTAATTAAAGGGGGCCTCTGAAGGGGGGCCCCTAATTGGGCCCGTGAAGGGGGGCCCCCAGTTAAAGGGGGGCCCCTAATTGAAGGGGGCCCCCTGAAGTGGGGCCCCCAGTTAAAGGGGGGCCCCTAATTGAAGGGGGCCCCTGAAGGGGGGCCCCCCTCAAGGGGTTTTTGTGGCTTATGGCCAAAACGCACAAAAGCTTCTTCTTCATCCTTATAAGCCTTAAGTGCTGCTTCTACCCGCTGCCTTTCAGATACCTGGCCCCTGCAGCAGCAGCAGCAGCAGCAGCAGCAGCAGCAAGGGAGCTGCAGCAGCGGGTGCGGCGGCAGCAGCAGCTGCAACAGCAGCAGCAGATGGTGCGGCAGGTGCCGCGGTAGCAACAGCAGCAGATCAGCGGCACGTGCCGCAGCAGCAGCAGGAACAGCAACAGCAGCAGCAACAGCAGCAGCAACAGCCGTGGCAGCAGCACAGACACAGCCATAGGAGTTGCTGCAGCAGCAAATTGATGGCACAGGCTAGAACTGTCACTGCAGCAGCACGTTCTACTTACTGCTTCCCGCGCAGCAGCAGTAGCATTAGCAGCAGCATTAGCAGCAGGAGCAGCATCAGCAGCAGCAGCATTAGCAGCAACAGCAGCAGTCACCTGTAGTAAGACACAAGTCTCCAAACAGCAACAGCAGCAGCTGCTGCTGCTGCCAGCTGCAGCCCAAGTCTCTCTTCAGCTCGAAGCTGCAGCGCAGCAGCTTTGGGTTTAGAAGATTCTGGGGGGCCCCCCTGGGGGGCCCCCCC